CCAGGTGACCAGAACCAACATTTGGAGATTTGGAAATTTCAGTGAGTGCTGAAAGGAGAAACATCTCCAACAGCTCCATGTAGACATGTTTCTCAGGAAGGCCTTCATGTTTGAGCAGGACGATGATAAAAAGCAGACTGCATCTATTCCAGCAGCACAGCTTCACAGGAGAAGAGATCTCAGATGGTAGGCGAAACATCTTCAAGCAACTTAAAGAAGTCCAGATGCTTTTCTTTCCAAGCTCTTTAGACTACGATGAGCTGGATGACTGAGAACATAGATATACTCTTAAGTATTTGGATATACATGATGGATAATATTTGATAATATCCTTTTGGGGAAAATAAGTTAATGAGCCTGCTGCCTTCTCGTTTCCACACTCCTGAGGAACAGAGGCACATGTAAGAACACTCAAAATGTGGCAGGCTTACACTCACTGAACTTGCTAGCTGGACAGGGAGTGTCTCTCAACGATCCAGCGTGGAGGAGAGCTCAGCTACACTACTAAGTAGTGATGATCAGCTGATCAGCAGCAGGTGTGTGAGAGGGAAACCGGGGACACAAGCACAACACATAACCATGATACACCCCAGCAACATATAAACAAGTCCAAAAATGCTCGTGGACCCTGGGTCATCAGATGTTAGAGATACAATAATGTTGCTGCTGTAAATCAACATTTTGTTATATTTGAAATATCAATGTAATCTGTTTCTTAATGTATTTTCTTTAAAATAGAGTGTGTGTGTTTTAATATCATAATTATAATAATCCATAATCATTTGGACATACATATTAGATAGTTTTTAGTGAAATATAAGCCCTCCAGAAAGGCAGGAAAAGCCCTGTAACTTACTTTAAAATGAAACATGTCTCTAAAACGGTGGCCAGAGCTACAGACCCATGACACCCTCGCCCAGTTAGCTAGCAGCTAATAACCGTGTCCTTTGTGAGTTCGTTCCCGGCTCGTAACCAGCCCGCATTGCCTAATGATCATGATGTGACTCACAGCATGCATTTAGCACCAATAATTAGCATGCTTTTATTTATTGTAGAAACACAATTCCTCTGAATACATGTAAACGAAAGTGCTCTTTTGGCTTACAAAGAAATATGGACACAGACTTTTTGATCTGCTGCCCTCTGGCAGACGGTACAGAAGCCTGCAGACCAGGACCCCCCGACATAGGAACAGTTTCTTTCCCCTCGCCATCTCCCTTCTTAACAGTTGACCTGTCACACTGCTCCCACTGCCAGACTGCAACTGCACCTTATGCACATTCTGTAGTATTCATTCCACCTCATTCATTTCTGTATTTTATGTATATAAGTTTAGATTAGTTATTTATAGTTGGTTTACACAGCTTTGTCTATGTATGTGTATGCATGTGTAATGTATATATAGACACGTGTGTGTGTGTGTGTGTGTGTGTGTGTGTGTGTGTGTGTGTGTGTGTGTGTGTGTGATTTGCTTGAGAGCCTCCATCTACTGGAACCAAATTCCTTGTATGTGTCTGCACATATACTTGGCCAATAAACACGATTCTGATTCTGATTCTGATTCTCACAGTCACAGGAAGCTCATTAGTGATGAGAAAGTGGAGAGCAATGAGGCACTTGTGAAATAACTATCGACAAGTGCTTTAAGTTTTGCGCTACATGAATAAAACTGAATTGATGTAAAACATGAAACACAATGAAAGAAAATTAAACTTCAGAGTAAAACAGGAAGTAACTAGAAGATAACACTGTTAAGGCTACCGCTGAACACCTGAATAGCTCATTTAAGTAATGGAAAAATGTCCTAGCTAACATATAATATATATTCACTATTTAATAACTAAGAAAAGGGAATCTGACTCATTATCACGTCTTGGGCCATCTTTGGGTTATAGTCTTTTCATTCTTTGTGTTTATTAAGTGAAGTTAGCGAGTTTCTCTGTGTGTTCCTGCTAAAACTGTAATTTATGTTAGAGCGAACTGTATCTTCCTGTTTCTAACTGCATTTCAGTTTCAACTGATGATGGCGAAACCAGTAATTTGTGTTGTAAACACTGTCACCAGAGTTCCTCAAGGTGATGGATGTAAGTGTGAAAAGCATCAACTCAGTTAAAATTCCCATTCCCACTCACGACGAGGGGCAGGGATACCTGAGTAAGTAGAGGAAGGTTGGGGGTTTGAATCCACTGAATGGCAACCCTGAGGTGCCCACTGGCTGCCCAACTTTCAGATTCTCTCACAGATTCTAACGCTATATTTTATTATTATTTTATTTCATTATTATTTTAATATTTTATTACAGTTTATTTATTTATTCATTTAACTAAAAAGTTATTTTGAATGTATTTTTTTATCACCACATTATTTATCCAATTTCCATTTTTCCCTTCTATTCTCATCTCTATTGCTGTTTCGTCACTCATCCAGGTGACGTCTTCAGTCTCAGCTGACTGCAGGTTTCCCCAATCTTATAAACAGTACATCTGAACAATGACTGAAACCAGCCCACTGAAGGAACAATGAGTCATGAGGTTAGTTTCTTGATTATTAATATGCAAATTGTTAGTCTTTGACCTCTCTATTTTTGGTTTCTACGCCGCCCATGTCACCTCTACTTGCAGCCCGCATGATGACGTGAAGAAATATTTAAAAAAATTATTTAACATGAAGGCAACAGGCAGAGTGTTACGGCATAGCCCTAAAGCATGCAGCCTGATGGGCAGTGTAGTCCGTGCTGCAGGGAGAATGGACTGTCATACCCGTGATGTGTCTGTGAGCGAGGAGGGAGAGAAAGGAAAAGTACGAGCTGTCACGGAGCAGAAACGGGAGCTGGAAGCATGTAAATATAATAATAACCACTGCAGCCAAGAAGAGAGCCTGACGAGCCCAGTTGTAAGTAAGCTGTTAAGACTCGACTGTACGCTGTGTTCGTGTTTTCCTCTGAAACAATACGTTTCGTTGCAGCAGCCTTTCAACGCCTCTCTCTGTCTCTCGCTAGCAAAGTTGACCCAGACAACAAAGTAGTTGATTTCAACTCTTGGCTCTTGACGGAGGCGATCGCACTTTCTCCCTCTCCCTTATCTTTCCTGATTGGCTTCTCATGTCCTTTGTATAGTCTCGCTTATTCTCTAACCCTAAGAGAGTCTCCCAGACTTGTTCTCTAAAAACCTGAAGAAGAATTATGGATTTGATCAACGGATCCCTTAACGAAACGGACACCCTCCTGGGCTTGGGAGAGCCTTATTGTCCTGTGGAGATGTTTGCTGTCGGATACTTGATGGTCCGTTGCATTGTGTGTCTGGCGACACTCTCGGTGGAGGACACTGAATGACATCTACCAATTCGGAACTACGGTAACAGAGTTTTGGCTGATTGGAGCTGGATCGGACCTGGCTTATCAAAGAACAAGAAGCAGCTACAGATGTTCAAAACCCCACAAGGCTGCCCGACATGATTGGTAAATGGTAAATGGCCTGTATTTGTATAGCGCTTTACTTAGTCCCTAAGGATCCCAAAGCACTTTACACTACATCCAGTCATCCACCCATTCACACACTGGTGATGGCAGCTACATTGCAGCCACAGCCACCCTGGGGCGCACTGACAGAGGCGAGGCTGCCGGACACTGGTGCCACCGGGCCCTCTGACCACCACCAGTAGGCAACGGGTGAAGTGTCTTGCCCAAGGACACAACGACCGAGACTGTCCAAGCCGGGGCTTGAACCGGCAACCGTCCGATTACAAGGTGAACTCCCAACTCTTGAGTCACGATCGCCCCGTTGATGATGTCACGGCTGTGTGTACTCAAGACTGAGTTTGTTGAACACAATATGGATAAGATCTTGGAGAAGAACAACGGGAATTGAGAGACCTGGTGAACAGTGACGGAAATTAGACCAACTGTAAAATTGGAAGCAGTTTCTTTGCACTAACCAAAACAACTACCATCTTCATCTCATGCGGGCCCCCCAGCGCCAGCTGGATGCTCAAGGCAAAAGGTGAAGGGAACAACAAAATTCTCCTTTAGATAACAAAACTGTATTGTGACTCTCTCCCCTCTCATTCAAGGCCACCCGAGTGGACCGAAAAGTGTTGGCTTTTGCCTAACCGAGTGAAGGGACACTTTATCTCGATTGAACATGGAACACACCCCCTCCGAACGCCTTTTAATGCTCATGTCTTCTGTGTTGTGAGTTTTCCCCCCTTAATAATAAACACCAGAAACTGCATTTATTTTTACTTTATCTTTATCTAATATTTAAATTTGTTTGATGATCTGAAGCAAAATGTGCAAAAAAATGAGGAAATGGTGAACAGAGTTTCACACCACTGTATACGACAACACCAGCATCAACAGTGAAACGCAGAGAACAGAGAGACACAATCAGAGACACGGGGAAGATAAAAATTACAACGAGCACTACAGATAAAATCAAATGTGTGAACACAAGATGTTACAAGCACTGAACTCATCAACATATTGTAAAAAGAACCAGAGACTCAGTATCATGAAAACTGGATGAAAATACAATAAACACAAAAATTAAGATTAATAACAATGAAAACAACTAAATAGAAACGATCGTAATGCAAACATGCATTTGGACGCAGTGTTTGGAGTGAGAGAACCGCTTCCCCGCTCATCCAGGACACTTCTTCAGGCTCCGAAAGTGTGACGTCCAGATGAATAGAACTAACTTTCCAGCTCGAAACAGAATCTCAAACTTGAAAATATTAAATACGTTTTCCAAAGTCAAAAACACGACTAATACCCGAAATGAGAAACTCTGAAATAAAATCTTTCTTTTTTCTGTTTGTAAAATCATCGGTCTGGGCTTCACATCACAAACGAGTAGCTAAAAACAGCTGTTCCACTTAAAATGTTTGATGTTTAACTTCATGTAGCATCAACTCTGACACCTTTTAAACTGATATAGTCACAAACATTAGACGGTAAAAAAATCCTAATAATTTTGAAAAGAACAAAGAATGAAAACTCTTCACAGGCTACTCTTGACTTTTCGAGCTTCCTTCTTTGTTTGCTTCTCATCCTTGTAGAAAACCTCCCCACCTGACTGCGTCCTCCAGCTCAGGCTGATGTCTCCATCGACTCTCTGGTCCTTCAGCTTCTGTTTAAGCTGCAACACAAAAAACATGTTTGCCTGAATGTCACTCAGAAAAACGTCTCCAGCTATATCCTGCATATTTTACTCAGCTGATTTGAAGGGATCATATTAATTAGAATTTAAATATAATTTACACTGAATATACTGCTGTCTTTTTGTGGGCAGTGACATCACAGGCACATAAATTACTTCACTGGAGGGCGATTTGAGGCATGCACTGTGTTCAGCACACACCCCACACAGTTTGGCTGAGCAATCATGGCGGCTACTCTAGAGGTGGAAAACTCCTGTAGGTGGCACCAGTGGAGCAATAGATATCCATGTCATACTGCATCTGTGTGCCAGGAGCAGGGAGGAAAGCCCTCCACAGGGTTATTACCACCACTCAATGCGCTCTACCCGCCCACGCAGACTATTGTCCTTCCCACCCTGAACCTCTGCCAAACTTCTCAGGACATTAAACACAAAGATAAATAGATTAAAAATGACAGTAGTTATAGCTTTTGGTTAAAAACTAAGTGCTGGTGGAAGTTTGCAGTTGTTTAAATAAAGAGTGCATGCAACAAATGTCCATGTGAAATGTGTTGTGTTATCCTTGTTTTTTTTTCCAATAGAATTGTTGTGATATTTTGATACCATGGTAGCATTTACAGGATATTGTTTTGTAGTGAAAACTGTTACTCAATAAGGCCCATTTACTAGTTGTTTTTCTCTTTCTCTGTGACCCAAGAATTGATGTGTAAGAATCACAGGCTGGTACCCCAAGGTCGAAAATACCACAGAGACGAGACCACTTCCTTACTCCCATCCTCCCTTCCTTATCCTTTAGAAAAGAGCTTGTTAAAGGCCAGGTGGTTTGTTTCAGAATTCACTAATGAAAGAACTCTGTATTCTATGTCTAGGAGTGTATTTTGCTGGGATGATCATAAATTGTAGCTGAAGAGATAAACTACACAAAGGATACTTCTTTGCTCAGAAGGCAGGAAGACGTTTCCTTATTTGGTCTGTACCGGTTTGAACTGAGAACTTGCTGACACACGAACCTTTTTCCTCTATATAAGCTGTTGTATACTTAATAAACCTTTGAGTTGATTGTGGGAGAGCAATCTGAACAGTCTGTGTCACTTTGTTCTCCTAACTGCTCCTGGCGCTGTAACTAACCTGCTGAACGGCATACCTGAGTGTTACTTTGAATAATTAGGAGTCTTATAAGGAAAGGACAAAACTCTGCTTATCGCTCACGCCACGGAGGAAACCCGGGATGGAAATTTCCTTCAAGAATATTTACTGGTTACTTGTATGTTTGAGCTGGTTTTTCAAAGTTTTTCACTTTGTCGATCATAAAACTGGTTTTGGACATTTTTCAGTTGGGTGTCTACACCACATGTGTAGTTGTAGTTTTGTTTCCAAAATTCAAAACCCAACAGAGTGCTGAAAAAGATGAAAAGGAAACACAAAGTAAAAATCTAAATGATCTGCCTGTTTCAGCACGTCTTCCATCACAGCAGGGTCACTCAGGTCCACACTGGAGTTTTTCACCAGTCCCAGTCTCACTACATGCTTGCTGCGAGCACGTACTTCTGTAAATGAAAGAAAATAATGGTTAGGGTTAGCCGAAGAGAGAGCACACGCTGCTGTTTTTTCACTGAAAGGTGTTATCATCTCCAAACTGTACAAAAGTGGGCATGAAACTCTACATGCACAAAGCCTAATTTACATCATGGAGCCCTGCTCCCCAAAGATGACATAGATGTAACACTGTGAAGCTGGGTTTTAGAAATAAGTAGTTAAAGCTTTTAAAACATGTTTAATGCCCTTTTCTGTCAGCACAGGACCTGACATTACCAGGTTAGCTGGTCGCTGCTAAAAGTCTTACATTAGTTTATATTAGCTAACTAATAGTAACAGGAAAAGTCTTTTGCTTGTCCAAATTAGTTTTATGTAAAGAACCGAGGATAAACTGCCCACTTTCACTCTGTTTCATAAGCAGTCAGTGGGTTTTTTTGTCGTTTGGCTAGCTGCACTGAAACTGGAGATCCAGCTGTTAGCTGCAATGTTCGGGTTTGCAAAGCACTTTATGAATGAGGACTGTGTGGAGGAGAGCCTTGGAGCCAGTTTACAACAGCACAGGTTACTACATGCACATCACACCACAAACATAACTGTGTTTCTTGATTTTTAGTTAGCTAAAGTAAACTAATGCAAGTCTACTGACTGCAACCAAACAGCCAACCCTGTGATGTCACGTTACGTACTGACAGAAGATGGTGCTAGACATGGTTTTAACTTTATGCAGCTGAGCGACAGTTGAATCTGTGTCAGTGTTTGATAGATAGATAGATAGATAGATAGATAGATAGATAGATAGATAGATAGATAGATAGATAGATAGATAGATTGATTGATTGATTGATTGATTGATAGATAGATTGATTCATGCACACTTTAAAGGTTTCACTTCCTGGTATTTTGTTACATTTTTCAATGCAGCCTCCAGAACAGTTACTGTACATGTTTGTCATTTTTGCACAAACAGAGGCACAACAGCGCTGCCCTGTCTCTGCAAAGTTGAGCTAAATGACAATACTGACGGGATAGCATAGGCTAGCTTACCACTGTAGCAAACAAATGCTCTCTTATAATCACAGTTCCAATCTTCCCATTTTCCTTCCTTTCCAAAGTATGCTGCCACACACATCTCCTTGTGAAAATTGTTGTTTGGTTCTTTTGTATCCCAGTATCTAAACGAGGAGCTGGATCCATCTATCCACTTCCAGGAGTCTCTGAAAAGGCCGATCCAGGCTTTTTTCCCTTTGGGTATCAGCTCCTTTATCTTCTGGTTCTCTGACATGTTTCTCACACTGGCCAGGTCGGTGTAATTAGCTCTGCAGAAGCTCTGGGCGTCCGTCCATGTCATCATGTTTTTGATGAAGACAAATGTCACATCTGACTCTGAAAGAGATAGAAACAATAAACATGAAGGCAAATAGAAGCAGAGTCAGGAAAGAAATCACAGAAAAACCCTGTATGTTTGAATGGTTCTGTATTATTTAAAGTCCTCACCTGCGATGTAAATGCAGACTGCATTACGGACGGCATCACAGTCTCTGTCATTCCATAATCCGCTGTCAAACATCTCTGCACAACATTCAGTGCCTTTATAGTTATTCGGTTCCTCAGGTGACCAATTTCTGAGCTCAGGTTCTCCATCTTTGTAGAAACCCGTGTCGTCCATCGACCACCTCCAGCTGTTCACGTCGTTGTACAAGCCGATCCAGGCTCGCTGTGTTTCATGTGTTTCATTGGGCAAAGGTGTGACATAAAGAACATGAACTCAACCGTTGGCCCAATAATACAAAGTAAATTTTAGCTCTAAGGACTTAAAAGATTTAAAATGCACGAACAAAAAGTATTTTTCTCACACGAAATACAGAATTTTACTTTACAGGCACCTTCTGATTTTCACATTACAAATTTCATGTGGATACCTTGAGCATCATCTGCATCTTATATAATTATTAAAAACGATGTTAAGGAGATATTTACATTGCTGTATTCTGAGTATTTCATTTTTTCCAAGTCTGCCATGTTGTTCAGAGTCTTCACATCCTCCATGCTTTCTATTGCAGCCAGGTCTGTGTAATACTGTCTGCAGTGCTGCTGTGCTTCAGTCCAGTTCTTCTGCTCATAAACAAAATGGTACTGACGCTGAGCACTTGAGGAAACGGCCCACAGCCCTGACACAGATGTGAATATTAATTACATGGTGAAAAACAAGCAAAACTAGTCTCTCATCCATTTCAGTCTGCTCGGTCGTGTTGATTATTTAATCAGTACAGTGATTAAAGAATGCTGTGTAGTTAAAATATTATTTATAGTTGTGAAAGTCACCAGATGAAAAAAATAATAAAGCTATTTATTTATTGTTAACTAATATTAAGAAAAATAGATTAAAATACTTGCCTGAAACCGCTTTGATGAACAGAAGAAACTTTTCCATCCTGGTCTGTTGCCTGTTTCATGTATGACGGTAAACATGGAGCTGCAAAGTAATAAGGAGGAAATAATTTGGATCAGATTTGCATGTCATAAAGGGGTAAATAAACTCATTGCCTCAGTCGTTATTTAAATGGAGAGAGGGGGGGGGAGTTTCAATAGTAACCAGAGTATATGTTGCATGTTCTAGTTTTATATGGGTCGTCTTTTTTACATGTGACTTCGAGCTTATGTCCCAGTGGCAGCTGGGTCACAAACTGGGCTTAGCATGACTGTGTAGCATTGAGAATTTATACCCAACAGCCTGTACTGTTCATGTTCTAGAATAAGATCTTCATGAAAACATCACTTTCTCTTGGGTCTTGATTAGAGTGAAGACTTAACACTGGTTAGGCTCCAGGGGACTTTCTGCTTGTTGTAAAGCATTCTTGAGTTTGGGAATGGATGGCCTGGAGGACGTGTTACTATCCATCCATCCATCCATCTTCATCCGCTTTATCCAAGGCTGTGTCAACACCAAGGCGTTCCCAGGCCAGCCGAGAGATATAATCTCTCCAGCGTGTCCTGGGTCTGCCGCAGGGCCTCCTCCTGTGTTACTATGTAAATAAAAAGATGCAGCACCGGTGCTCACACGTTTACTTTAATCTTAAATTGTGTGTGAGGCTAAGCCGGTGAGGAGAACACCAGGTCTTTATTGGCACAACCCATAAGATGTCATCTGTGCACAATGTTCTTCTTCTGCTGTCTGGTTTTCCACCTTTCCAATTTCTGAACTCAGCCTCACTATTTTCATAAACAGCTGTAAACCTACAGCTGTTTACATCATCATACAGTCCAGTCCAGGATCGCAGCCAGCAGGTGAAACTTTGATCATACTCTCATGAGCCTGTCCTGTCAGTGATTACTCCATGTGTCCAATGAAGACGTGACGTGTACGAGCATTTGAACAGCCAGTGTCAAAAATATGTTTCAGTTAAACAGAGAGAGTGAATTTACATCGCTGTCTGTTATCAGATTTGCTCAAGTCCACCATGTCAGGGTCTTCACATCCTCCATGTTTTCTATGGTGGCCAGCTCCAATGCAGCGGCGATGACCAGAACAAGTTTCTCCATCCTTGTTTGTTCTGCTCGTATCTGTCACTGCACACACTCAGATAATAAAATAACTCAGGAAGTTATACATGAACACGTTAATGTTTACATCATGCAAAGTTATTAAAAGGAGAATATTTGCTTGTGAGGTTATTTCGTGTCATATAACTGATACAGGAGACGCTGTTGGCTGGATGATGTAACCGTGGAGCTTTACTGATGCTGTTGGGATGTGATGAAGTTTCCTGAATGAACATAAAGGAAATGTGTAAGGAGTGATCATAAGGCAGCGATGTCTGTATGTGGATACCTGCTGCCAGCTCCATCACAAAGCTGCACATTCAGTGTCATTTAAGAGAAACAGGAGAGAGCAGCGTCAGACTGCCAGCAGCTGAAAGATCAATGTTTGAATTTTGTTCTTGTTTTCACATATGGCAAATTTTATATTACTGTAAGTAATTCTCTCCTTCAGCTGCATAAATGAACAAAAGTGGCTGTTGATGTAATTAAGGCATCAATTTAATTTTTTTTTAACTGATACTAGTAAGAGGAGACGTTACAGTTATAGGTCATAATTCTGGGCTCTTGGGAAAATTAACCCCAAAAACCAAAAGGTTTGACCAAAACCACCTTTGCCATAGAGTAGGCTGAAAATTAATATCCAGCATATTCCAGTTGTTGGATGTTTGTAAGTCTCGATCCAGCATCATCCAACCATCCAGTGCCCGGGTGTGGTGAGCGGCTATGGAAGGATTATCTCCAGCAGTGTGAGGCCAGGTAAAGACATCTGTGGCCTGTGATGAGATGAAAACTTCCCATGCCAAGGCTGTATGGAGGAAACACTCACACCTCTCTGCAACTTTCCCCAGACACCTCCACATTTCCACCTTTTCCTAGCCTGTCTGCTTTGGTGAGGGACAAACCTGACAGACACACTCTGCACAAGGTCAAATAAACAAGGGTTGACACCCCCTGTGTGGAGCAGGGTGCGTGCTATATTATAGATTACACATCAGAGGAGAACTAGAACAGCGACACAGGAGGAGCGACACATCCTCCTGCTTTAAAGGAAAGGACTTGTTTCATACACTTTTTTGTGACAACAATCAAAATTCATCAAAAAATTTTCTCCCATTCTTTGTTTTCCTTTTATTTATCAGCACAGGTTATGCTGCTGTCACACGTACAGTTACTCAATGTTACCAGGTCAGTCCAGCAAGCCAACTTTCAGAATCGATCCTCATCCCATCATGAAGCTGATGGATACAAAGAAACTGAAAGTAATATTTATCACATTTCACGGGATCCACACAAGGATTTAATGAAAAAAATGACTAAAGAGGCAAAAAATAATGAAAACAGATGAGGATAGCAGGTAAACAAAATCAAATGAAAACAGCACAAAACTCCACAATAGTTGAAACAGTTAAGATCAGTAAAAGAATCAAAAGATAAAAGGGACAAATCCTCAGCCAAAGACACTAGTGACAGACTTAAACTGAACGTGAGCCTTTATTACAGCAAAGCAAAATACAGACAAAAGCAAAGGGTGACAATGACGAAACTAGCAAAACCTAAACTGGAAGAAACCTAAAAACAAGCACAAAGAAACTAAAGACCTGAGACATGGAACAAGGTGTCGCGATCCTGGGTCTTTTGATGTTTATGGTTTATGTTTAAGTTCATTAGGTTATCTAACTTCATTTGTTTATTAGTTTCCCCTTGTGTTTTCAACCCCTGTTAAGTCTCCCTTGTCCTTCATGTGTTTCATGTCTGTGTTTCATTATGTTTCCTATTTTATTTTGAAAGAGGTCCTGTGTTGTGTTCTGTTTTACTCTTCCCCTGTGGCGTCGTTATGTTCATGTTGTGTCTGCTGTGCCTTTCTGTCCCATGTTTCAGGTCCCTATGTTCTGTCTCCCCAGTCTGTTAAGTTTACCTCCTCCTGTGGCTCATTCCCCCTCGCTATCCCCGTTATTCTCCCTGTGTTTCCAAGCACGATTTATTATTAGTTTTCCCAGTTTAGTTTTGTTCTTTGTTTCCCTTCCACACCAGCAATAAAGCTGTTTTTTGAGTTTGCGTTTGGGTCCTTCTCTTGCCTGCACACAGCCGTATTGTGACACAAGGAAAGCTGGAACATGAGAAATGCAACAGGAGATGTGCAGACAAAGGGCTTAAACACACCGAGAGATAGCAAGGGAACGAGACACGGGGGGAGAGCACAGCTGGGAGAAATCACAATGAGACTGGGGGGGAAGCAAAACTGGGAACATGAGACAGGCACAGAGACAGGAACCAAGAAACTAGAAACTATGAATAAGAATGAAATAAAAGACTATTAATCATTCAAAAACACTAAATGCTGGGACACAGACCCACAACCATGACATGTCTTTATTATCTAAGAAGTAAAGGAACTTATTTAAGTCATTGGGGATGTCAGAAATGCAGTGTGGGTGTCTAAAACACCTTGGAGTTTGCTTCTGAAGATGAACTTAAGTTAGAAAAACGATCGGTCTCCCTTTACTTATGCACTACAGACGTGTTACTTAATTAGCTGACGCAGTGACGCTGATTGGAAAACAACAAAAACATGAAGAATGGACACGAAACAAATCTTTTCAGATAAATAATGCAACACTCAAAGCTTTTATCTTTGCTTAAGGGTTTTTTATCTTCTTTGTTTTCTTTGTGTCGCTGTGAAAAACATTTCCATCTGACTGCTTCATCCAGCTCAGGGTGATGTCCCCTCTAACCCCGTGGGCCTGGAGCTGCTGTTTAACCTGAGACACACAGAAAATGTAAGCCATAAAACTGTAATAGAGTCAATTCTTGACTGCAATTTTGTTCTTTTACAAGAAAACTATGTCCTATAACATTATCATATTTGCCAAAATAATTACTGTTTAGGCCACTACAATAATTACAGTTGCTGGGCCTTTTACAAAGCCTTAGGGAGAGAGGAGAGGACGCACATACCAGACTGGTGTCTTCTTTTTAATGGGAACAAAATAATTTCTGTTAATATTTACAATCTGATGTGGCAAACATACTGGTCTTGTTACACACCAGGGGGGTCAAGCCAAAGAAAAGACAGAAAAAACACAACATCTGAACCTCCAGAGTTCTGCAAACAGTCTTTGGACAGATGAGACCAAGAATAATGTGTCCCAGCGAATGAAAGACACCGCTTACAATCTGAAGAATATCACATCATGTGTGGCCGCCACCAGTTTATGATGATGTGGCTGCTGAGAGAAGTAGCAGGAGGAATCATGAAGTGGACTCTCAGCTCAGGTTCAGAACCTGCAGAACTGATGGGACAGAGGGATGATGGGCCAAAGCAAACTGCAAAAGCAACCCAAGAGTTTCTCAAGACCAAAGTGAAGGCAGAGAAACCCACAAACAAGCAGGAATGAAACACGGCTGCAGTGAAACGCTGAGCAACACAAAGGAGGAAAGACAGCATTTAATGATGTCCACGTATTCCAGACTTCAGGAAATCTGTGACTGCAAAAGATTTTCATCAACCTTTAAAAAATCCATATCACAGTACGTTGGATCGTCCAGTTACCTTTGAGCCTTGGAAATCTGGCTATCTAAGTTGAAAATGACTAATAGTTAAACAGCTCAGTACTTTTGTTGAACCCCCTGAAATAAATCTGTACGTCTGTGCTTCAATCACACGTCGATTGATTTAAAATCTGTTTTTTGTTGAGAAGTTCTGACTTGTATGTAAACTGGAACTGTTGTTGCCAAAAGAAAAAACAAAAGAATATGAAAACGAAATTTTCTTTTTAAAATTACCAGCTTCAGCATGTCGTCCATCACAGCAGCACGATTCAGATCCAGATGAGCGTTTTTCTCCAGCCTGATTCTCACCGCTTGCTTGTAAACAGGATCTTTTTAAAGAGAAAAGTAAGGTTCACAGTTAGCCAGTGAGGTTCACTGAAAGCTGCTTTCTGTGCATTTACAACAAACACCCACTGGATGTGCTGCCTGACTCCACAGAATTTGATGCATTATTCGTTTTAAAGTCCAACTTTTATATAAATTACTTCTGTTTTATTTTAAGCTAAATGCACTGCATGCATGCAGCCGTGTGTAGATGTAGCTGAAGGCTGTCTGAATCATGGCTTACCACTGTAGCAGACAAATGGCTTCTTCCAGTCACAGTTCCAGTCCTCCCAGTTTCCAGAATGTTTAAAGTATGCTGCCACACAGTTCTCTCTCCAGTATTGGTTATTTGGTTCTTTTGTTTTCCAGTATCTAAATGTGGAGGTCCTTCCATCAGTCCACTTCCAGGAATCTCTGAAAAGGCCGATCCAGGCAGATCGATCTTCAGCAGGCACCAACTCCTTTACCCTCCGATTCTCTGACACGTTTCTCGCACTGGCCAGGTCTGTGTGATGAGCCCTGCAGTAGCTCTGAGCCTGAGCCCATGTCATCGTTTTGTTGATGAACACAAATGTCTCATTTTGCCCTGAAAATGGACCAAAGTGAAGTGTGAAGTGCACAAACATGAGGGATACATCTTCACGTTAGCTACCACTGAGACAAATAGACCCAAAAAGTCTTTAAATCAAGAATGAAGTGTGCATGATTTGTTTGATGGTCGTGCACAGATTGAGATCCTCACCTCTGACATCAGAGCAGATTGCACTGAGGGTTTTGTCACAGGGTTTATCATTCCATTCTCCACTGACAAAAATCTCTGCACAAAGTTCGTGTCCCCCTTTATTGTCCGGTTGTCCAGGCTTCCAGTTTCTGAACTCAGCCTCATCACTTCTGTCCGACCTCGACCACCTCCAGCTGCTCACGTCATTGTACAACCCGATCCAGGCTCGCTGTAAGCAACGAGTAACGAGTGACATCCCTGACTTTTCTGATTAGTGGTACATCATCTTTTTAAATATAGGAGAAATATTTATAAACAAGGTTTTTAAAGACAAAGTTTGTTAGTTTGAAAGTTTATAGATAAACCCTGTCATTCATGGGTATTTCATTACATATTATAAAAAACGATACTACTGCAAAGGCTGGGGAATAACAATAGCAAGGCATTTCAGTTAAGGTCAAGTGACTGTGGGCCCCAGTTTTAGCAGATCACATAAACGCACAATAAGAAAAAAAACAGGAACAGGGGAATATTGCAGAGAAAAATTAAATACGTGAGTGTGTACAAGTATTTGACCTGCCAGTGTTACAAATATGTTGCAGTTAAACAGAGAGAGTGAACTTACATAGCTGTCGGCAGATTTATCAAATTTGTTCAAGTCCACCATGTCATTCAGGGTCTTCACATCCTCCATGTTTTCTATGGTGGCCAGGTCTGTGTAATACAGTCTGCAGTGCTGCAGTGCTTCAGTCCAGTTCTTCTGCTCATAAACAAAATGGTACTGACGTTCAGGATTTAAGCACACGGCCCACAGCCCTGCAGTGACAGACATGCATGATCACTTTTAAAAAAGTAACTTGACATTTCAGTGAAGTCTGAACTTATTCCAGCAGTAAAAGCATATCCAGTATTACTGCCACTGACATACTGTAGCTTTCTATTCAAGCTATCATTCTGTTTTCATTACAGCAAATATAAAAACACCTTAAAACACTTGCCTGATGCAGCGGCGATGAACAGAACAAGTTTCTCCATCCTTGTTTGTTCTGCTCGTATCTGTCACTGCACACACTCAGATAATGAAGTAACTCAGGAAGTTATACATGAACACGTTAATGTTTACATCATGCAAAGTTATTAAAAGGAGAATATTTGCTTGTGAGGTTATTTCGTGTCATATAACTGATACAGGAGACGCTGTTGGCTGGATGATGTATACCACAAAAATGTATAATTAAATGTGAAATTCAAAGATATTCTCATCAATTATTGAGTCTAAGTCTAGAACTTGAACTCCTTTGTTCTAATCCTCAGACATCAGAGCATGTTAAGGTAACATGGTCGCAATTTCCATTGGCCCAGGATCCATTCCCACCTCGGTGAGCGCAGGGATCTTTGCCTTCCCTACTGTCTGGTTGTCTCAGTTTCTGAACTCAGCCTCACTGCTGTCATAGAAATGTCTGTTTGACATTGATCACCTTCAGCTGTTCACATCATCGTACAGCCCAAACCAGGCTCGCCTCAGGTGTGCTTCAGTTAGTTAAATAGTAGCTTTGTGATAAGCTCTGAAAGTAAAATGGCTTTATTATTACTGAACATCTCATATAGTTTTTCTGATTGGGGGAAAAATTTGTCACTCTAAAATACAGTGGAGCAGTAATAAATGGAAGCATTCAGTTAACGTGCAATGATAGAGATTACATGGCTGTAGGTCTTTTGCACAAGTCTGTCATGCTGTTCAGGGTATTCACATACTCTGTGTTTTCTGTAGGGGGCAGGTCTCTGCATGTATGTATGTTTGGCTCTTTGACAACAAAACAAAGACTTTCCACACTACTGCAAGTGTACAGTATTTTGTGACGTGTGTCCATCCATATTTGCAAAGTTATCTTTTTAATACTGGCTCACTCATTATGTAAATAAATAGAGATAAGTATAATTTTAATTAATAAAATAAGAGATCAAAATAAGAGACAGCTGGAAAATACATTTAGCTCTACGAAATAAACGTTCTCTGAAATAAATACAACGGAGCGTAATTTTAAAATAAAACTTTTTTGTATTAATTCATATCTGTATATATTTTACAGTCCAGTTATATAATTTGTCATTTCAATGGCTCTACTGTCGTCATTGTCATATAATCAGTTTATTAATAAAGGTTTATTTAAAAAACAAAACAAAACGTCCAATGAGATTCCACGTCGAAAGTCCTCGTCAGCGCACCGGTTCGACGCATGCGCAGATGACTAACTTCCTGCTTCCTGACAGCTGCACAACAACAACAGAAGACTTTTCGCTCTGTGCTCCGTGCGTGTTTCCCCGATCTTTGATTTCAGGTCATATCTGTGTCCGAGTCCACCTGTCTCACCTGTCCGTCTGTGTGTCTACATGCGCGCTCCCGTGTGCGCGGCGCTGCTGGTGTGGGTGCTGACGGATGCGGCGGCTCGTCAGTTCTCGGAGGAGGAGATGGCTGCTGTCAGGTACGAACACCAGCTCCGTCTGGACTCGGTTTAAAGTTGAGTTTTGTGCAGACACCACCCATCCTCCCTTCATCACGCCAGCTGGAGCGAGTCTGAGGGTGGGTGCGTGTGTCTGAAGGGGCAAACGCGAACACTAGACTGGGATCCCACTGTGAGTTTGAGAGTGGGGAAACTCCCACAACACAATAATCAAATAATAATTGTAAAGTGTTTTTTTTTTTTACTGTACGTTTCCACTCAGCAGTCATCTTAGCAATGCGTCCGGCAGATGTTTGGGTCGTTTTATTGTATTTTATTTACAAATTCACCACACTCAGACCACGAGCAACAGCTGGCGACTGTGGGGAGGAAGAACTCAAGACCACAAACAAGACAAAAAACAAACTGTGGAAGAGAGATGCCAAATTGAATGATATGCAGCAGTGGCTTTAAAACAATATAAGATAAGTGCGAGTTGCCTTCATTTGCATCTTAATTGTCTCTCATTTGTTTTTTGTGTTTGACTGATTCTGTTCCTAAGCAGTGGGTGTGGGCAGGTTTGATGTTTGTGGAAATATTTCACTCTACTATCAGCTGCATTTGCCTCATAATTTGAACGCTGCCTCCTTCTTTCTTTTAAGGGTTTGACTTAAGCAACTGACATGTGCGTTTAATTTTGTCAGATATTTCAAACTGATGATTACGAGAAGTCCCAACATATTCACAGGTTAATCGGTTTGTTTTTAAAAGCTTTGAATTCACCTGAAACACAAACGTTTTTAATGTGTCGATGAAAGCACACAGATTCGTTTAGGTGATGTAAAGTATGAACTCTGGTCCTAAACAACCTTAAACAGCCATTCGTGTACAGCTCGATCTGCTCTCGTTCGTTTGCGTGTTTGTTTGCCTGTGTCAGTAATGTGAGAAGCTTTTATTCTGAAAAACGTTGAAAGTTATTCTAACTGTTCAGTGGTTTACTTTGCTTGCTTTTCCGAAATCCCGTTAAAAAGTTGCTCTGGCTTCAGAGCGTTTCCATTTTGATTCTAATATATGTTGAAATATTTTTGTACTTGGATGTTTAACGTTTTTCACACGAGGGAAAAATTGCAGAATCCAATTTTTACTGAATTAGTTTCATCTAAATTTGAATGCTTTGATAAATTGTCCCGTCCTTAATGTAACAAACTTCATCTCTCAGACAGCGCATCAAATCCATGTTCTACCACGCCTACAACAGTTACCTTGACAACGCCTTCCCCTACGATGAGCTCCGCCCTCTCACCTGCGATGGACAGGACACGTGGGGCAGGTGAGGCAGTTTAAAAACTTGAATGTAAAGTACACTTTACTGCAGTGAACTTTTCTTTACTTAGAAAATCGGGTCAAGTTCAAGGACACAACGTGTGAAAATCAGTAGAAACTTTGTATTACTCACATTTCATGGATTGTTTCAAACTTCACAACACTACAGCCTTAGGGGACATGAGTATCTAGGTTGACCTTGACCTTCACTGTTAGCACCTAAGGTCAAAGTTGACCTTAAAAAAATAATAAAGATGCCATGTTGAGTGGTATTATGTGTATACACATACACAAGGCCCTACGACGTTACGATGACCCATAAAGTCACACAGCATGAATATATCCTAAAATCTCAGGTTTCTACAGCTGATAGAAGCCAAAGATTTCAGTCAGTTCTGCTCCAATCATACGGGTATCATAAGATAATCAAATCGATTAATCATCTTCACATTTCCAACAATTTCCAACAATGCTGACATCAGCATGTTTAATAAAAGCATCACTATTTTAACACAGCGTGTGCCTTTCAGGGAGATCTGAACTCTCTGAGCGCTCTTGTTTCTTTTATTTTGTAGTTATAAGACACTTCCTGTCTCAACAGGACACAGCTAGCACACGCCAAACCTTTAAGTATTTCTTTTACCTTTCTCTGATTTTTACCACCTTATAAAACCATCAGGTCACATTTATGAATTTATTTAGTATATTCAGGTGAAATTAGTTAATTTTATTTCCCTCTAATGAACAGATTCAAGATTTCTCTTATAAAAGTTTAATACATTTACTGCTTTTTCCAAAGTCCAACACATTACACACATCACATTAAAAAATTGTGACTTAAATATTAAATTATACGATTATGATTTTTTCTCTTGTTTATGTATTTATGCATGTGGAAGGAAGTTGCGTTTAGACAAAGAATTTCAAAGTAAAACATTGAAAATATTCTCTTCAATTAAAGTGGTTCAGAAGAAAACATTATGTCAGGTTAAGAGTTGTCAGAGACAGTAAAATGACCCCTGCTGCTCTTTTCTCCACAGTTTCTCGCTCACTCTGATTGACGCCCTCGACACTCTGCTGGTAAGACTGGAAACAGACGTTTTACGTTTACAGAGCCTTTAACAAACACCGATGAGCAGATGTTGTACTCCTGTGCCGTGACACGACAGTCGTCCGATGTGTTCTCTCTGAAGGTTTTGGGAAACCGTACGGAGTTCCAGCGAGTGGCGTCGATCCTCCAAGACACCGTCGACTTCGACATCGACGTCAACGCGTCCGTGTTTGAAACCAACATCAGAGGTACTGACGGACGATTCGGACTCTGAGGGGAAACTCATGTTCAACATTTAAACTGCTGTTTTTATATACACTGCACCTCTGGGCACAGGAGCTGTGGCAAAGGAGAGTGTCCACCTCAGGTTAATGTGTGTGTGTGTGTTTGCGTGTAGTTGTGGGTGGTCTGCTGTCAGCCCATCTCTTGGCGAAGAGGGCGGGAATGGAGCTGGAGCCCGGGTGGCCCTGCTCAGGACCGCTGCTGAGGATGGCCGAGGACGCCGCCAGGAAGCTGCTGCCTGGTGTGTTCTGGCGTTTCAGACTCTCTAGTTTTAATGAACTACTTTGAAAAGCACACATGAATAAATCAGTGAAATTTGTCTCAACAATAAATCAGCGTTTGAGACTCCCACCGGCATGCCGTACGGTACGGTGAACCTTCTGCGTGGCGTCAGTCCCACTGAGACACCGGTCACCTGTACCGCTGGCGTGGGAACCTTCATCCTGGAGTTCGCCACACTGAGTCGACTAACGGGAGACCCGACATTTGAGAACGTCGCCCGCCGAGCCCTGAGAGCCCTGTGGAAGACCAGATCTGACATCGGACTGGTAAATAAAGTGTCTGCTACAACCGTCCGCTCACATCCAACCCAAAGTGCAAACATGGCAGCTAAAGTCGGAAAAGGCCTAATGAGCATTTGTATAGGGTGAGCCACTGATAGGCCAGCTTGTCTTCCTTGGCTAGTCAGTGAAATTAATTTAAACAAAAACAAAAACATTTAAATATGCTGATTTTATGCGAAAGTTTCTGTGGAGGGCTTTGTGCCAAATCACAGCAGTCCTGGAGCTGGTGAAGGAGCGACCCTGCCAGAGCTCGCTGGCTTTTAGCTGAATGTGTCAATAAAAAAGGAACAGCCCTCCTACTTGTTTCTGTCACCTGTCTGCCCGCCCAGGTGGGGAACCACATTGACATCGTGTCCACGAAGTGGGTCGCTCAGGATGCTGGTATTGGCGCGGGAGTCGACTCGTACTTCGAGTATCTGGTCAAAGGAGCTGTTATGCTGCAGGATGAAGAGCTGCTCAGCATGTTCCAGGGTAACAGTCACAGCGCTTCCTCCTGACAGCTGCTAAGCAATTTCCTGTTTTAGTAAAAAAAAAAAGTTTGATTTGTGGAGACAAATAAAATATTTTTTCTAGCCTGTAAGTTGTCGTCAGGGTTGGTTTGTCCGATGCTTCCAGCTGCATAACTTCTGCACTTTCTGGCAAAAGTTTTGTGAAAGCTTCAGTTGATGCCTCTGTGCTAACAAACAGAAGGAAAACCAAACATCTGATCTCTGATCCTGTGATGTCTTTTATCAGCGTATGATCGAGCCATCCAGAACTACACCCGCTTTGACGACTGGTACCTGTGGGTGCAGATGCACAAAGGAACTGTGTCCATGCCCATTTTCCAGAGTCTGGAGGCCTTCTGGCCCGGCCTGCAGGTGAGTGAACGCACAAACACAAGTCTGTAACGGGAGGCTGTTAACATACAAACAAAGTTAAATCTGTGTTTCAGTCTCTGCTGGGAAACCTGGACAGTGCTGTGAGAACTTTCCAGAATTATTATTCTGTGTGGAGACAGTTTGGAGGACTGCCTGAGTTTTACAGCATCCCTCAGGGTTACACTGTGGATAAGAGAGAGGGCTACCCACTGAGACCAGGTCAGTCCACTAACACCCTCCGCCTATCGCGTTCTGTCTTCGGGGTCAAAGGTTACAGTCGGAGCTCATTCAGACTAATATTTATCAGCTTCAGGGAGTGATGGGAAGCTGGTTGATGTTTAGTGTCTTGAGATAATCTGAGCTAAACAGCAGGTGAGTAATGCTTTCTGAGATGGGCACCAACACAGAGCTTTATCGCAATAATATTTATTGTGATTTATTTATTGTGTATTATTATACACGCACAGTGTTGCTCCTGAGTTCAGCCCTCATCACGTCCCACCCCCTCAAGCCAAAGCTTCAGATATGAACTACTACCTTTCAGGACATCCCTCTCATGCATGCATGGAGATGAACCTTGAAGGCGCTGATGTCAGTTACCTGGGTGTCATAAAACTCCGGAGTCTAGTTTTTGGTTGTTTTCTGAGCAACTTGAAGTAACAAACCAGCTGATCTTCCTTCTTCCTACGTGTTTCAGAGTTAATCGAGAGCGCGATGTACCTGTTCAGGGCAACAGGTGATCACACCTATCTCCAGCTGGGCGTCGACGCTCTGGAGTCCATCGAGAAGATCGCCAAGACGCCGTGTGGATATGCCAGCGTAAGTCCCACTATCAGTTTGATTGGCTGGCCTTAGTTATCACTTTGAAGTGCTCGTGATTGAAAAGAGCTCACGAGTAAAGTTTTCCTCGCTCTTCTTCCTGCAGGTTAAAGACCTGCGAGATCACCAGCTGGACAACAGGATGGAATCCTTCTTTCTAGCTGAAACCATCAAGTACCTCTACCTGCTCTTTGACCCCACCCACTTTCTGCACGGCGGAGGGACGGAGGGGGACGGGTCGTGGGAGGAGGGTGGGGAGGCGGGGGAGTGTGTGTTAGGGGCAGGGGGGTTCATCTTTAACACGGAGGCTCACCCTCTGGATCCGGCGGCGCTGTACTGCTGCGGCCGGCACGACCAGGACCGCCAGGAGCTACAAGACATCCTGCTCACCCTGTCGCAGCCCGGCAGCCAATCAAAACCCCCTCCCAAACAGACAGAGGGGGGCAGCCAATCGGAGAGCATTGCTCTGAAACCCGGAGAGAAGAAGACGCCCCCTCTGCTGTCCTGCCCCGTTCAGCCGTTCAGCGCTCGGCTCTCCATCCTGGGGCAAGTTTTTACCGACGACACGTGAGACTGTTCGACTTCCTCCGAGCGTCTCGCCGTGAGCGACTGAGTGAGACCCGAATCTCAGCAGCTCAGTGAAAACAGAGTTTTGAGGTTTCCGTTTCCTAAACTGACCTTCCTACACAGATCTGCTGGGGTTCGCTTTTTGTTGCTATGAAGGAGCTCAGGACCAGAACTTTGCTGTGCTTTGTCGACTCAAATGTAATTTAAATTAAAGAGAAAATATATTTTTATTTAAAACAAATGTTGTTTCTTGTCTGTTTTACACGGTTGGTGATGAGGTGTTTTTTGTGCAGGCCAGGGCTTTTACTCTCTGAATGCCTGACAGTGTGTCGGTCACCACTGTGCTGCATGAACACTCTCCCATTAGGGCGTGGATGCACCACCTTGGGGTGTTGGTGGGGGGCTGGGTGTCCTGCAGTGTCTGGAACTGGGATTCTCGCAGCGGATTGGCTGGTTCCTTTGAGGATGTCGGGTGGTGCGTCCGTGGATGGCGATGGCTCTGTTTCGTCCACCTGACGGGTCGTATGTGTCAGAGCCACATTTCCTTCAGATGTTAGTGGTTCTGTCGTTGTGGCCGATCACTGTAGTTGACAGTTGTTGTTTGTTACAGTAGGCGGCACGCCTTCTTCAGCTTCTGTGAACCTGCCTCCATTAGTCTGAAGCCTGTTTGTTTATCCTTTGTGCGTTTACTGTCGTTGTTATAGTTACAGCAGACAGGAGTTACATCCCCAAATGATCCTCTACACCAGGGGTGCCCAATCCCGGTCCTCAAGAGCTACCGTCCTGCAGCTTTTAGATGCATCCTTGTTCCCACACACCTGAATCAAATGAATGGCTTGTTATCAGGCCTTTGCCAAACATGATGGCATGCTGAAGAGATCAAACCATTTGATTCAGCTGTGTTGGAGTAGGGATGCATCTAAAAGCTGCAGGACGGTAGCTCTCGAGGACCGGGATTGGGCACCCCTGCTCTACACCAAAGTTCAGTTCAGTTCAGTTCATTTTTATTTCAAACATTTCAAACATGTGCCTTCACAATCATTACAAAATATCATTCCATTATTTGTTTGAAAAGGAGTAGGCTGAAGTATTTACTTATTTGTCCCTACCCCCTCAAGTTTTACCTCTCATTCATTTAATTTTTTTTTTTTTTTTTTTTTTTTTATAGAGAAATGTCTAAAGGTCATCACGATATAAGGTTGTAATGACTTTGATGTGGGATGCTTTACAACCACGCAGCTCCTCCGTAGGGGTAAATGTGTCTAATCACTTAGAGGTCACAACTACGGAAACGACGGTCGGGTCACCGAGCTCGAGCAGTCTGCATTAACTTCCTTTGCACCATTTAAGGTTTCGTCTTCACTCTGAGAGTTTCTGTGACCAGCCAACGGTTTCTGAAATGTGGGGACAGATTTATAAGTTTCCAAAACAGACGGGAAGTGTTTTCCCCTCTAAATCCAGGATCCAGACCTCTGAGTACAAAAGACGGGAGTCAAACTGATTAAACTTTAAGTGTTTCTGTGAGAGCAGTTAAACAAAATTCTGACTGTTGATTGGGTTTACATCGCCTGTCAGCAGGAATCAGGAACAATGGGCTCGTGTTCAGGAGCCTTTGTCACTGTGGTTACTATAAAACCAGCAGACAGAACAATAGTCCACAAATGAAAGAATTAATAACACGAGAGCGTGCAGGCGGTGTCATGTCTGTGCCGTGTGGGTGTCTGTGCTCGCAGCAGCCAGACGGAGGCAGTGTTTTGCCTCCATAGTGCCAAAGTATGTCCGGCATCTGGGAGTCAGGGTCCTACAGAGACGTGTCACATACAGAAATCATGAACCTTTTCTAGTTTTCTTAATGTCTTCTTCTTGGACTGATTATATGCAAATCATTATTTTTATGTAACATTTACCCCGAGAAGCACAGCTGCAAGTGACTGAATATCAATTATTGATTACACATTGGTTTGTTTGTGATCCAGTATAGATTACAGTTTATTACTAATGAGTCCCAGCATAAACTTTTCCTGACGTACAAACAAAGATGGTCTGTTGAAACTCGGTATAATCATAAATTAAGTTCTGTGTGATGAGAAACAGTGCAGAGCCTCGTGACAGCAGACTGCAGGTCTTTACAGGAACACGAGTGAATGAAAAGCAGTGAGATCCAAGTCACTTGATACTATTTTACATTTAAAAGAGGGCACGTCCTGACGATTCAAAATCTGAGGGAGCCGGGCAGCAAATCCCCGCTCATCATTAATGACGAGCACGCGGCTCAAGTGCCCAAACCGCAGCGCTGCTAACAGGCTGACTGCAGATCAGCGCCCACAGACTCCCAGGTTAAAGTGTCAGACTTTGAAGTGGATCGTTTCTGTTGGGTTTATCTAGGCACAAAGCCGCTGGAACACAAGACCAACAAACTGCACGACAAAACAGAACAAGACAGAGCTCTTTGTGTTTGTGGCTCGCGAGGGAAGTTGAGGAAAAGATTCCTTCACCTGAACTCAACCAACTTCGACTGATTCCTTTATTGTCAGCAAGCAATCATTCATGAATATGCAGTTACAAATATACGTGACATCCTTAAGCAGGCATCTCTGAACAACATCAGTGTCTGGATTCTGTGTGTGTGTGTGTGTGTGTGTGTGTGTGTGTGTGTCCAGCCATACGTCCAGCCAGACAGACGACCTTTCAATGGACTTACACTGTATGCAGAAAAGCAGAAGTAAGCGTCTTGCTAAACTATAAAAACAGGAACTTGGTCGTGTCTCAAACACACATTTAAAGCACTTTTAAGAACAGCACAGTGTAGTTCCTGCAGCTATAATGGAAATGATAACGTCGAGACTGCTTCATCTCATGGTACACAAGTGCACACAGAGTCTTATCAGACCTAATAAGGATATGATTTTTATCAGCATACAAATGATTATACATTTCTAAGCATAAATGACCATCTTAAATGATCAATTCTGACAGTTTCCTTCTTGGTTATTATTTTTTGTTGTTTTTATTTTGGACTGACACAGACGGGCAGCTGATCAGTGACTGCCAGGCCTCATTTATACTAACTGGATGTGTGCTGTAGATCTCAAACCCCGGCTGGGCTCACAAAGACTTTGAAAATGTTGCCAGGAACCAAACCAAAGGCTTTTAAAAAGGAGCAGTAATGTTTTCTAGTCAATTCAAAGACTCACAGGTAAAAATCAGCAAGTATTGGTTTAAAACCTAACGAGGAACCTGCTGGATCATGAGCAGTCCAAACTATGTGGACTAAATGAAATACTGTAACGCTGCATAGGGAGGAACATTTTGTGCGTATGTGCGGTGACACGAAGGACTTGCAACACTTGACAAACGGGCTGAGCACTGCATCTGTATCGTGCATGTGAATATGCAGTGACGGAGTAACAAATGTTCTACGTGAAAAGTGAAGAGGTCATCTTCAGGAAGCAGAATGTTGCCATTAAATTTAAGGCTACGATTGATTTTGTCCTGTCATCTGTCTGTTTGATGCTCAGGAGGAGATCTGTGTGAGGGAGACACGAATAAACAAACCTAATCATGATTAAAAACTTCATATCCTCAGAGATTTGCAGCAGTTAAAATGGTGAAAGGCAGTTTTAACAGAGTGATTGTTTCTGGATTTCATGTAATTAAACATCAACTTTTCCTGGTGTGTATCCAGTTTTCCAGCTCTTCAGTTTCCTCACTGATCTAAATTACAGACTCATTTACCAGCAAACAGTTTTCATATGGATGCAAACGAGTCAGGAGTTCAGTCAGGGCAGGGCTGACGGCTGATTTCAGCTGAAGTCGTTCTGATTCAGAAGACTTATAGATCCTCCATCCTCCGTCTTACCAAAGTAATTGATCATCTTTCCACAAGAGTTCAAGAGTTTGTTGGATTATCTGATTATCTGGCTTCACAAGCTGTAATTTGACGGCACCGTGGTGGCTGAGTGGTTAGCACTGTTACCACAAAGCAAGAAGATTCAAACCCACCCAGAGCCCTACCGCGTGGAGTTTAACCCATGTTTGTGCGTTTAGCTCCACTCAATTAAAAAAAGGCAGGTTGCCCCCCGCTGAGGACACCCTCCCAAAATCAGAATTTCTTTCATTGTCTAAACTTTTATTATTGGTGAAAGTTCACCTGGTAAGGTCAGCTCTGCCTCATCCTCCATCTGAAAACTAAAGGGCCGGTGTCCTGCAGGTTTTAGATCTCACCCTGGGTCAACACACCTGAATCACAGGATTAGTTCATCACCAGGCCTCTGGAGAACGTCAGGACATGTTGAGGAGGTCATTTAGCCATTTAAATCAGCTGTGAAGGATCAAGGACACATCTAAAACCTGCAGGACACCGGCCCTCGAGGCCTGGGTTTGGACACCACTGCCCTAAAACAAGTTTTCACTGTGGCCATAGATCAAGGAAGCAGTGTCCCTTCAACCTGTCTTATTTCTGATGGCCAGCAGGGGGCGACACCTTTGGTTGCCAATAAGCTTGAATGGGAAAGAGTTGTTGAGTCCCTTTGCTCTGTGGTCTCAGTAAACATGTCCCTGATGGCTTTATGGGCTCCGTCACTATTTTCAGTGTTACTGACTCACATGTGAGATTCATTTGATCAACTATGGCCCCTGTTAGGGTCAAAAAGGTCAAAAAACTGTCACTTGCTGATGTCAAACAGAAGCCATTAATCAATTAATCAACACTTGAAGTTTTTTGTACTAGTGAGACAGAACGCCTGACACCGAATGAGTGAAAGGAAGACGAGAGGGTTTAAAATACATCAAAGAGAGAAATCGGTGTTTGTTGGAGGGTCCACACGGCCGGCTTTGCTGTGCAACTCTAGAAGTAAACAGAAGCTTTGTTTGTTCACAGGGCAACTCCACACAGCAGATTGAAGTTGGAGGTCGGTGACGGACCAGCATCAGAGCCGACTCTGGTTCTGTTCAGCAGAAATCCCCTCTGGCATTAAGGGCTGGACTCACCCTGCTGTTTCCTCCCCTCCGTTTTATAACCTTTTAACGTCCCTCAATCCTCCGTCACTATTCTGCATCTCTCTTTTCCTCCCCTCCTTCGTCCTTTCAGGGTGTGTTTCTGGATCGGTCTCCATTCATGACTCCATCATGACTAACTGCTCTGAATGTGAGCTTGACTTTGCTCCAAACAAGTCTTTAAACCGGATTAAAGTATTCATACCTCCCTTCCATTTCTCCACTCTGTCAGTCTACTTGAT